CTCTGTTCTGTGAGTTTATACAATGTCTCTAGTAGGAGACAGACGTGGGAGTAAAATGTTTCTCCCTAACCACAGGAAGGGATTTGTACAATGCTTCTCAGAGGCGGATGACCGGGTACCTCACCCATCAGGAAACAGGGAACTGTTCCTGCAGTTGGAAAGTAGCTTTATCTGAGATAATCCATTCCATAAACTTCCTCTTACAGAAGAGATGACCCAACTGATGGCCATTTCTTAAAAATACTTGAATGTCCTTATATGGAAAAAAAGACCCTTGTCTTAGTTTCTTTCCCCTTTGCTCTGAAGAAACACTCTGACAAAAGCAATTTGAAAAGAGAAAGGGTTTATTCTGGCTCAGGGCTCAAGGGAAAGCACATCATGGTGGGAAGTGAAGGTGGAGGAGGGCTCGAAGCAGCTGGTTGCATCACATCTAGGATCAGGGAACAGAAAGGAATGAAAGCGTTTTGGGTGCTTGGCTCTTTCTCTCTGCTCATGTAGTCCAGGAGCCCACTTAGGGGATAGCACCACCCACAGTGGGCAGGTCTTCCCATCTCAGTTAACTCGATTGAGACAATCCTCATACACATGCCCAGAGGTCCATCTTCCAGGTGACTCCATATTCTGTCAAGCTGACACTTAACACTCGCCACCATCTCTTTAAATAACTTGTGTTTGAAAAATAATATGCATGCATGTTCAATTCATGGGCCTGTGTTTTTAGAATTTAGTGGAACTTATTTATTGTATTGCAACATTTTTACCATCGATCAAAGTACATCTGTACAAACATGGAGTATCTAGAAAATCTCAGGTGGTCTCTGCTAATAGTATCCAGAAGCTCTGGAGAACAAGGAGAGGTGCCTTTTACTTAAGAAATATTGGAAACAGAAATAAGTCAGCTTATACTTCAGTAGTAAATAAGAGAGAACATGGCTGTGTGGTCAGACAGTTATTTTTATCATCTAGGTATAATTTTTTTAAAGAAACAGAAATCAATAGTGTTATAAAAGCCACTTGCACTCTGAGCTTGAAGCAACTGCTTTCTGCCATGAAATTCCCCTGCTGCTTCCGTTAGCAGCTGAGTAATTCAGAGTGTCTTGAATGTCAATGTTTTTATTACGCAGCTAATGTTGGCTTTGCTGGATTAAATGTCACTTAAAGTGATCAATTGGAAGCTTGTTTGGGGTTACTTTCGAATTTATGAAAGGGAAAAAAAAGTTGCAATATACAAATGTTCTTGAAGCGTACAAGTGAAGCCTGTTGTCTGGCCAGCCCTGCCCCACAGTGGCCATCTATTGGGCACATCATGCATTCACGTTCTGGAACCCAATGTGATGCCTGAGAAAAGACTAGCATGAAATCCGGGGCTGGGTAAACCTTTAGCTGAAGAAATAATCCGAGGGACACTGTATAGTTTTAGGATACTAGGAATGTGCCATGATACTAAAAGAAAGAGGGTGAAATAGGAAATCCCTGTGCAGGTGGGGATGGAGGTCAGAAGAGCCGGCCATTCTAAGTTTGGACTCTGCCGGAGGACTGGAGCCCAGAGAACAGTGGTTACCTTTTGTTAACCTTAGTACCATGGACACACTAGATCCAGGTGTGGAGATGTACACCTGTGATCCTATTACTGGGTAAGTGAAGGCAGGAGGATTCTGGGACATACTGGCCAATCAGTCTACCTAATCAGTGGGTTTCGGGTTCAATGGAAGACCGTGTTTTAAAATATATAGTGGGTGGCAATTGAAAATGCAAGGGTGATTTCTGACCTGTGTGTGTGTGTGCGCGCACACACACACACACACACACACACACACACACTTGTTACCACTCGGGTATGCAGAAGGGGATTGTGTGCACACCTTTGCTTCTCCTCACTGAATGGCATTTTATGTGAAAGTGCTTGGTTCGGGGAGACGTTTTCCAGTTGGGTGAGACTATAGAAAATTCAAATGTGCCTGCCATTTGCCATTTGTGGCACCAAACCCGGACAAGGGAGCCACAGCTCTGGTCTTGTCTTAGTCCATTCGGGCTTCTGAAACAGAATGTCACAAGATGACTTATGAACGGTGGGAATTAGCCAAATGTGGTGCTGTGTTCCTGTCATCTCAGCCCTCAGAGGAAAAAGCAGGAAGTGGCCGAGAGGAGAGAGGGGAAGGACAAAGAAAGGAGATGTCTCACAGACAGAGCAGCAGCAGCTCTGAGACCACTGTTGAGTGCGCTTTCTCCTCAGTAGATAATGTCTTCTTGCAGTGTCCTCACAGATAGCTATGAAAGGGATCTCTTTTTTTTTAATCATTTTTAATTGAATTAGAAACAAGATTGATTTACATGACGATCCCAGTTCCCTTCTCCCTCCCTTCCTCCCCTATCACCCCCCCAACTAAAACCCTATCTATCTCATATCCTTTCTTCACCTGACTCAAACTTTCTTCTACCTCATGACCTCTGCATCTTCTTCCCTTCTCATTCTCATAGCTCACTCCCCCTTTTCCTATGTTCTCAATTTGCTCAGGGGATCATGACCCTTTCCCTTTCTCCAGGGGACAAAGTTTGTCTCTTTTAGGGTCCTCCTTGTTTATTAGCTTCTCTGGCAGTGTGGATTGTAGGCTGGTAATCCTTTACTCTATGTCTAAAATCCACATATGAGTGAGTACAGATCATATTTGTCTTTTTGTGATTGGGTTACCTCGCTCAGAATGGTTTCTTCTAGTTCCATCCATTTTCCTGCAAATTTCAAGATTCCATTGTTTTTTTTCTACTGAGTAGTACTCCATTGTGTAAATGCACCACATTTTCTCTATCCATTCTTCGGTTGAGGGGCATCTAGGCTGCTTCCAGTTTCTGGCTATTACAAACAATGCTGCTATGAACATGGTTGAACAGATGACTTTGTTGTATGAATGTGCTTCTTTGGGGTATACGCCTAGGAATAGAATTGCTGGATCTTGTGGTAGACTCATTCCCATTTTCTTGAGGAGTAGCCATACTGATTTCCAAAGTAGCTGTACAAGTTGGCACTCCCACCAGCGTTGGAGAAGTGTTCCGAAAGGGATCTTTTATAGCTGTCTTTTCCAAAGGCACTAACAGGGGCTGAAAAGCTGGGGAGGAGTGCGTGTTCTTCTTGCAAAGACCCCAGGTTCGGTTCCCAGCACCCACATGGCAGCTCACAACCATCTGTAACTCTGATTCTGGGGGATCCAATGCCTCTGGGGATCTCCTGGCCTCTCTGGGATCCTGCATGCATGAAATGTAGTTATTCACACAGGTAAATACACATACACATCAATAAATAAGAAAGATGTGCATTTGGTCATTGGTCTTCTGTTAATAGCCATCTGGTTAACCTCCTGGAACCATGCAGTAAGTGTTGGGAAAAGGCGCCGTCTACTTTTAGCCAGTGCCAGTCCAACATCAGCAGTACCTGGAAGGTGCGTGTCTGCCTCTGCTTAACCTATTGGGCTGAGCTGGAGAACAGACTAGGTACCTTTACAACATGGACTCAGAAAGCCAGGGATCCAGAGCCAAAACCCTGGGCTGAGCACAGTGCTGGGTCATCTGCTGGATGTTTGCTGCCTGACCACATAATCGGGTACCAGTTCTGCACATGAGAAATGACTTTCTTACACCAAATTCCTTTCCACCATGATTCCCTTATGATAAAGCAACTTGAAAGACCTCCAAAGGATGATTTAATGAGAATACTTGTATTTCTTTTTTAAGATGCTAGCCACAGTCCCCATAGCCAACATCCCCAAGCCACACAGTTTTTCATTTCCCGTCGTTTTTTTTTTTTTTTCATTTATTGCTTTCTTTTCAGCCCCTGTCTTCCTCTAGCCATTCAGCATCTCCTGCCAACTACAGAATAATCTTTAAACCCTAATCTCTTAACTTTTTATCACACTGTTCTCATTAGAATGTCGAGATTTTTCTTTCTGGGCTCGGGGAAATGAGTCAGTGGGTAAAGTGTTTGCCATGTAAGCATGGAGACCTGATAGTGACCCCCCAAGACTCACATAAGAAGCCAGATATGAAAGTGCCTATCTGCAAACCCAGCTCTGGGGAGACAGAGGCAGGAGGATTTCTGGAGCTTGAGGACCAGCCAATCTAGATTCCTGTTCATTGAGAGACCTTGTCTCAAAAATAAAACGAATGAATGAATAACAGATGAAGAGGCTGGAGAGAGCACTAAGTGGGTGTTTGCTGTGCAAACAAGAAGACCCAAGTTTGAATCCCTAGCATCATGTGAAAGTCAGACATAGCCATACATGGCTGTGGCCCCAGAATTCAGGGAGGATAGTGGGTATTGATAGAGCCTAAGAGCTTGCTGGCCAGCCATCCTATCCAAAACACAGGTTCAGTGAGACCCTGGCTCAAGGCAGGAAGGTGGAGAATGATAGGTGAAGATACCCAGTGTCTGCTTGCTTCCTAGTGTGTACACGTATGCTACATACTCTGGCTTCCTAGCATGTACAAGTATGCCCATACACCACACACACTACCCCAGGAGAAGTTTTAAAAGCCATAAGATAAAGAATGATTGGGGAAGACACTTGTATCAACCTCTGGCTCCCACAGACAGACAGACAGATGCGTGCACGCTCACATACACACTTGAAGACTCTCTTTCCACCATTTGTCCTTCTAACCATTTTGTAGCCCGCTGTCAAAACCTATTTATTCATTTGCAGGTTCAGCCTGGTTCCTCATCCATCAGATGGGCTAGCTCAACTTCAAGCTTTGTCACGGCTTGAACAAGCCTTTTTCTCCTCCTTGGTCCTCATATAGAGGCAGTGGCCTCAGTCAGCATCGAGTCTCCCTGGGTCAGAGGTCAAACAGGAGCTCACAGGCTCTCTCTAGACCCATCTCATCTGTGAAATGGGGAAATAAGACAGTCAGTCAAAACCAGGCCCAAGCTGTGGTTACAAGCCCCTTTTCTGAATCTTGTGACTGCCTCCATAAAAATCCTTGTCAACAGCACTCTCCCTTTTCCTCTGTAGACTGTAGACTGCTTTGGGATTATGTCTATCAGTTGCTCTCCGACAGCCGGTACGAAAACTTCATCCGATGGGAAGACAAGGAATCCAAAATATTCCGGATAGTGGATCCCAATGGACTGGCTCGCCTGTGGGGAAACCATAAGGTAAAAAGGCCAAATGTTTGTTGGGAAAGCTGGTGCCAAAATAGTCTTCATCCCCGAGTTGGAGGATAACTGTCTTTTCTGCCTCCCAAGTCTGCCCATGATTATTTGGTTTGTTCCTTACTGGACAAACAATTAGGTAGTTGTGAAGGAAGGAAATGATTAAAAATGCCTTTTTCCATGTGCTACCTTATCCAGCGCCCATTAACTCAGCCAAGCTCAGTTCAGTAGACTGTGTTCCCCCTCCACCCCTGCCCTGCAGCGCCACTCCCCTTGACCTGGACCTGCCACCCCTGTTGTCCTTAGGTACTGGGGAATAGGGAAGTAGTGAGAGCTGTATGACTCACAGGGGACCTTTGGGAAGTGTCACTTCTGTCCCCATCAGTTGGAAACTCCCCTTTACACAAAAGTCCATTTCTGCATGGAAAACACGTTCTGATTATAAAACAGCCCCTTTACGAGCAAGAGGTGCAAAAAGTCTGCCCCCACAGTTTTCCAAAGTAGGAAGAGGAAGTGGAATTCAAAACATAGGTCCTTTATAGTGAGGAAGACGTTTAAATGTGCAGATATGAAAAGGAGATAACTGTGGCCAGGCCAGTTGACACGTCAGGAGACCTAGGACCAAGCTGGGGGTGTGGGGGACAGTGAGGTGGCACAGATGAGCCTCAAGCTTCTTAAGAAGGCAGCCTGAGCCCTTTCCCAGCTGAGAAAGACCAGCTAAGGGCCGTGGACAAATATGTTGAGCACCCATAAACAGACATCTGAGAGCATGAGTCACTGAGGGACCTTCTGGGCACTGCCCATCAACAATGATGACCAGGGACAAGTGTGAAAAAGTCATTGCAACAAAAAAGAAACTGTAGGTGATGCGGGCCACGAAGGACGGGCCACCTGTCTCCCACCCATGATAGAGGAAGCTAGGAACCGTCTCAGGAGAAGGAAATGAACGCAGTCCCAGTGGGATGCGCTAGGTTGGTTAGCTCTTAAAGGGGGCAGTTCTGTTTAGGAGGGGCCCTCGGCCACAGTGGCTGAGAGGCTGTGAGGCAGCAGAAAGTGGTTGACTGACCAGCAAGTGGAGTTCCCAGGCCGGTGAGGCCATGTGGAGTGGCGACTCAACTGCCTTTATTTTAATAGCTGCCTGGTGCCTTTTCTGTGGTTCATTTCATTGTGTCTTTGTGCTTCCCCCCTCTCCCTTCCTCCTTTGAACAAACAGAACAGAACAAACATGACCTATGAGAAAATGTCCAGAGCGCTGCGCCACTACTACAAACTAAACATTATCAGGAAGGAGCCCGGACAAAGGCTTTTGTTCAGGTAGCACTTCCTCTTTTCCCTTTCCTTCTTTTGGGAGGATATGATTTTCTTTACATAAGAGGGAGGAGGGAGACGGTTAAGAACTCTGACATGCGTAGCTGAGACCCAAAGCCATTATTGCAGATACTGGCAATTGGAAACCGGGTGCTGCTTTGTTAGGATTTAAGGTTTAAAAAAAAAAAATCATTCCTTTTGCTTAAGTCTGTCCTATATGAAAGCCAAAGCTAAGTGAATTCTGACTCACGTTTAAAATAACATAGTGACCAAATAGCGCTGTCAGACACCAGAGTCTGGTGGAGTTAAGGGAGCAATCAGAAGAACTATTGTTGATCACAGAATGAAGGATTAAACTGCGGCTTCCAGGTCAACAAACCTGGAAGCTGCTTTGACAAGCTTCAGGTCATGACCCATAGTGAGTCACTGTGTGGGTGTCATTGGTCAGCAACGGCCTGTTTTTTTTTTTGTTTGTTTGTTTGTTTGTTTTTTGTTTTCTTTTAAATGAAATAGACAATCAATATGGTGGAGTTGGAAATACCAAATTATAGCTCGTCAAGAAGAGTGACCATTCATTCATAATGATTTTGTTTACATGTATGTATTCATATGTGTGCACATGCATATACAGCCCCGGGGGCAACCTCTGATGCCATTTCTCATGACCTATGCACCTTGGTTTTTGAGATGAGGCTCACTGGCTTGGGCTTGCTAAGAACCTCCAGGGATCTACCTATCACTACCTCCCAGCAGTTGGGATTACTAAACATATGCCACTGTGTCCCCTTCTGTGTGGGTGGGAACTGAACTCTTGCTGGCCTGACAGGTGCCTCGAATTGTACGTCTTGCAAATGCATCCTGGCTAGAGAGGCGTGAAGGCCACTGCAATAGGTAGCCCTCCCCTTTTCTGATTCCCCTTAGCTAATGGTTTCCAGCTGTTTCGGTTACCATGGAGCTTGTGATTCCCAGAAGTAGAATAGAAGGAAAGGTCTAAAGGGCCACTGAGGTTGGCATAGGTGGAACCCTGACACCATTGGTCACTGACAGGGTGGGGGGAGGAAGCAGGATCGGCGAGCAGAGAGGACCTCGGGTTATAGGTTTGGGCCAATAGGACAGAAAGAGCAGCAGATGGGGCTGCCTGGAGATGTGGGTTTAGAACCATCCGTGTATAGGTAGGAAACGGCCACTGCGTGTGAGCAGTGCTGTCTCAGCAGGAGAGCAAGTAAGCCAGCCGTTAGCACTGAGATGGAGTGGAGAACGGTAACAACCACACTCATCTTCAAAAGAACAGGAGAATGCTGCTGAGGAAACCCAGCAGAAAAGAATAAATACAGAAGAGCCCTCCCTGCCTCTGGCTCAGTTCACACCTTTCCTTCATCCTTCACCCCAAATTTTCAGCTCCCCGTTCTTTTGTCCTAGATGACTGGATTCCCACTGCACTCAACTTTTGTCACCTCAGTCATTAGTCTTAAATGTAGCTCTGAATACTGTCCTGGAATTTCAGAGATTCTTGTATGATGCTCCCACTAACCGCATATTAGCGCCTCAGACATGGTTTCTGCAAGGCGGGTGTCGGCGGCTGAGGAATCCCACCCAGAACGCTCTGTTCTCGTCAGTTAACCACCACTGGTTTAACTAATCTCGGAGCTGGCGTCATCTCTGATTCTTTCTATAGCCAGGTCGGTTACTGAGCTGCTCTGTCTACTGGCTCTGCAGCACTGTCCCTGTCCACTTCTGTGTTTGTTGAGGGCCCGAAGCCTGGCAGCTGCAGTTCCCAGGGTATGCAGCTAGCCTGCCTCAGGTTGAAGTCTGTGACAAGCGTATTCATGAGGTATATGACAGAAAGGGAGTAGCATTCCAGTTCCTCTGCCAGGCATGTGTATCCCCTTAATTTTTCACATATGCACACCTTCGAGGCTACATCCAGTTGACTATTACAGGGCCCTCTGAAATGCTCAGTCAGACATAGACACCCTTTTCCACCAACTCCTGAGTTGCCTTTCCTCCAGCACACTGTAATGTCCATTTTTAATAGTATGTATGGGGCTGGAAAGGTTAAGAGCAGTTAAGAGCGGTTAGTGCTTTTGTAAAAGCCCCAGGTTCCGTTCCCAGCACCCACGTGATGGCTCACACCTACTTGTAACTCCATTGCCAGGGTATCCGGTGCTCTCTTCTGGCCTCTTCAGGCTCCTGCATGCACAGGGCACACATAAACTCAGGCAGGACATATACATATATAAAAATAAATCTTTAAAACAGCCTTAGTAATTGTGAATAGTATAGCATAATAACATGTGTGGAGGCTGGAGAGATGGCTCAGTGGTTAAGATCACTGGCTGTTCTTCCAGAGGACCTGAGTTCAATTCCCAGCACCCACATGGCCGCTCACAACTGTCCATGACTCCAGTTCTGGGGGATCAGACAACCTCACCCAGACACACATGCAGGCAAAACACCATTTGCATCTAAAATTAAAAATAAATAATCTTAAAACAAAAATATGCGTGAAGCGTTCCTCACCACAAGTAAACCGTAACTCCTAGGAGATGAGCCTTCTGATCTATTTAACCTTGTGTATAAATTAGGGAGAGTTTCAATAAGTGTTTATTGACTGTCCTGGTATGGAATATCAGAGTGGCCTGAAGAAGGGGCAGTTCTGAAAGCCGAATCCAGTGTGAACTGTAAAGTTGGCCTGGATCTTTAGCAACTTCAGGTGTTGAGGGAGAAGTTTTAGCAAGAAGATGGAAGTAGAGACAAGCAGCAGGCACTGTGATGTGCACTGCCCAGGGAACTTAGCAGTCTCCAGCAGAAAGGAGTGTCGGTAGACGAGGCAGGTCCCCTAACATCCAGTGAGGGGCTCTGAGCACGAGAAAGGGAGCGTGCTATTAGAGCGGAAGCCAAACTGCACAAAACGATGGCTTATTAGTCCATGACTCCCCTGTAATCCACGGAAGGCAGGGCATGGTCGGTATGTTTCAGGATGTTTAGGTAGACTGCAGTGTGGACTTGTACCGATAAGCACCTCTGGAAGGGATCCAGAAGGTTCCAGATCAGAACAACGTTGAAAATTTGCAAAAGGGCACAAGCCATGGTTTCTGTCAGGACTAGCGGGCAGGAGTGGTGAGTTAACGGAAGTGAACAGTGGGAAAGTAAGTGTTTCGGTGGGGGTAATGGCAGATGGATCAAAGACTGCATCTCTGACCTGGTGGGATGATGAGAGGAAACGTGTTTGAAGGTTGTTCATAGGCTTGGGGCAGGGCATAGGAAGAGGGGAAAGTGTCGACTGCGGAGTCGTCGTCCGTCCCCCGCCATCCAGGAAAAGATGGGACATTTGCAACCAAGCTTCCTCCCTGCACTGTGCAAACAATAGTCAGAACATGACATTGGTGCTATTCCAAGTGACACACAGTGACTAAGAATGTGAGGCTTGCTGCACACTCCAGCTACAACAGAAGGGGGCGTGCTAAAGGGAAGTCCTTTCTGACAGTTCAGATAGATGGTGGACACAGATCCTTCTCGCTTTCCTGATTTTCAGAGACCTCCCTCCCTAAGCTGCCCGTTGGTAAAAAGTATCCAGTTAACATCTAATAGCATCCCTTGAGTTCAAGTCAAGTTTTGAATACTATTCCCTGAGTCCTCAGACTGGAGTGGGAGCAGATGTAGAACTCTGGTGGGTCTTTATAAAAGTCTAACTCAGGGATGAAGAGAAGGCTCCACCGGGCAAGCATAAGGACCTGAGTTCAAGTCCCCAGCACTCAGACAAAGCCAGATGAGACTGTGCACACACCTGTAACCCCAGCTCTGTGGAGAGCAGAGACAGGTGGGTCACCAGGCCTGGCTGGCCCCCAGTCGTCTCATAGGACTAAGGCAGAAAGTGACAGGGTGGCATACCTGATGTCCTGTTGGTCCTCTGCACAGTGGGGTTCATCCACACGTGTGTACATACACCACACACATAATCTTTAAAGCTAAGAAACAGACAATAAGTAGTACCCAGGTTCTGACCTACAATCCAGCAGTAAGGCACCAAACCAGCAATAACACACCCCTATCTCCAAAAGGAGCTGTCTTCTCATAGTCCCCTCAACTTGTCATGGTCATCTTGTCACCTTTCAGAAGGGTAAGAAAGGAACCTTTCCCTAATCTATGCCGAGGTAGCACCGGTGTGTAGGTTCAGTGGGTCCCCAGCTCCGTGTTATGTTGCTCTGGGGGTTGGAGTGGAGAGGGAGGGTATCTTTGGGAATAGACTCTTCTGACGCTTTCATTTCCTGCTCCAAAGGTTCATGAAAACCCCAGATGAAATCATGAGCGGCCGGACAGACCGTCTAGAGCACCTCGAGTCTCAGGAGCTAGATGAACAATCGTACCAAGAGGACGAATGCTAAGGGGACCCACCACGGCCTCACCGGCTGGCCAAAATGAACCCTGCGCACAGGGACCATTAGAGGTGTGATGGAGCTGGGTGTGGCTAAGAAGGAAGAGGCCCAGGAATGGCAGGAACACTTCTCTCGCAGACCGAGAGGGACCCAGAGCACCTTAGACAAACCACCCAGCAATGGCGGGGCTGGAATTCTGGCAGAGGGCACAAGCCTGAGACTCACATGTCACACTTGCTTCTCCTTTGGACCTCTTGTCTGTAACGCCTCACCCCACCCCGCACCTGCTGTTAGTCCCATGGTGTTTCTGGTTTTGTTTTTGGGGGTTTTGTTTTTTGTTTTTAAGAACATGCAGTTTGACTATTCATCGTTCATACAGGGGAAGACATCACATGTTGTTTTCCTATGGAAATATATCTATTATATATCTATTTTTTTTATTTTTATTTTTGCAAATCTCCCGAAGTACAGCCAGCTCAGCTGGTCAGGAAAGAGACTTGCAGAAGGGATCAGGCCCCTCTTTTTCCTGCCACACAGATCAGGTTTGTCCTGTTGCAGTCGGGTCTTGGATGAGAAGAAAAAAGAAAAGATACTTGCAAAACATGAAAGAGGTCTCCGTCTCCGTCTCCCTCTCGCCCCCCTTCTCTCACTCATTCTACCCCTCCTTCTGCCTCCTCTGCCTGCTGTTCAATGTCACATGCCTTTTAGCAGACCTGGCCTCACTAGCACCTAAAGTAAACATTGGCCCAGCTGTTCTGGGCCATCAGCACACAGCCAGTCGCCTTGGGCATCTGAGGGAGGCCAAACACCTCATAAATGCTGCTGTATTCCAGAAAGATCAGTGGGAGGTCTGGTCATAAGATAGGCCAGAGGCTGGACAAATGATGTGGAGGGCCCTGGCATTTTGGGATTATCCTGGAAATGCTGCAAAGTGGGAAAATACGAGAAGCTCACACAGGCCTAGTGCTCCAGGAACTAGGCAGAGCTTCTCTGCTGTGAGGAACAAGTTGTGAAGGCTGGTGAGAAAGCAGAGTGGTCAGTTTCATTGCCACCACCCCCACTCCAAGCCCCAGCCTTTTTTTGTTTTTCCTTGCTGGTCCTTACTGAACATAGACCACACATAAGGGAGGACTCTGGAGTGCAGACTTAGCACAGCCGGTCTTTGCTCAACCGGCACAAGACAGGAAATCCCTCAGATTCATTCATTTCTCCTCCTGTCATTGCTGTATTTCAAGAAGATGTATTTGTGGCTTTTTTTTTTCACCTTGGCATAAAGTCCGTAGTATCTTCCAAGATGAGGGTAATACTATGCCTTAGGACTTTTGATAGCAGAGATTTTTAGACAGCTGTTTTAGTGGGGGTTTGGGGTTTTGTTGTTTTGTTTTGTTGGTGTTTCAAGACATGGTTTCTCTGTAGCTACTGAAATTTGCTTTATAGACCAGCTGGCTTCGAACTCAAAGATCTGTCTGCCTCTGCCTCCCAAGTTCTGGGATTAAAGATGTGCACCACCATGCCCAGCTTTCTCCCCCACTCCTTTTTAGCCATCTAAAGATACTCTTTAAACTATAGTGTTTTTAAACGCAGATGGTGAGGCCTGCCTTATAAACCACCCCTTGTCTTTCCTTTGTCTCTTCCACACCATTAAGTGAGCGTCTCCCAGCCCTCCTGGGGATATGTGTGCCCAACCAGAAGCAGTACACAGGTGAAGCTGCCAGAGCAGAGCCACCCTCCAACCAACTGTTCCTGTGCGGGGCACATAGAGGCTAGGAATAGACAGGCATTTCTCTTTGGGCCTTACTTACTCACCAGACATCAGCTCACAGATGTGTAGATGGACCGTAGTTCACAGACACTGGAATTGAGCTGACCGGGCTGCTTTAGTCTTGCAGTGACTCCCGAGTGCCTCCCCCATCTGCCTTCAAAGAGGTCAGTGACCTTCTGGGTGAGAGGTTTGGACTTAGTGTTCATGGGTGGTGATGGGACTCACATGCCGTGTTTCTTGAAGCAGGGTATACTTTTTTCCCTTGACCTCTAAAATGACTGGTACCTATCTCAAGTGGGGAGATTAAGCCAAATTCTTATGTTCTATGAGTCCCTGGGTTGAGCTAGAGAGAGAGGGTGGCAGGTTTTGGTTTTGGTTTTGACAGAGGTCCTGTGTATGACTGAAATGAGAGACACCTCGTTCTGGCCGCTTTGCTCACGTGTAAAACCCAGTCTCTATCTGCCCAAAGAATCTTCCAGATAAACTGTGGAAGGAAATTCCTTTGTTCCCTGAGGAGTATGTAAGGCTCAGGACGACAGCTTCCGACACTGACATTAGATATGCCCATGACGGTGCCACCTTTATTTCCTGCCTGGTATTCACAGTGATGATTTTACTTTGGTTCTCTTAACTGCAAAAGTCCTCATTTGTTTTTGGAGAGAAGGCCTGGCCAGTGTTGTCACCAGGATTGCAGTACTCAGGGTACAGATTCAGTCACTCACACCTTGGAGAGAACGCCACTACAGGGGCTCTTTGGTTTTGGGGGGTTTTGTTTGTTTGTTTGGTTGGTTTTTTCCATCCACCGTGATTTCTATCTCAACAGTAAGTTCAAGAGGTGATGGAACTAAACTAAAAGCTCATGTGTCAGATGAGTAGGTGGCCTTTTCTGTGGCTCTCCTGGGTTGGGTCAGGGAAGGAATTTGCAAGACAGCATTGCTGTGAGAAGGGTGGGCATTGTCACTTAGGTCCTGGAATTCTCTGTCCTGTGTCCTTGGCCAGGCTGTCTTCAGGTCTCCATCAGAAAAAAACAGTGCTAGCTGGTGAGATATTGACAGTAACTTCTCTCAGATCCTCTTGAGCCAAAGCAACTTGGTGACCACCAAACATAGTGTCACTCATGTTCCATATCTCCCCCCACTTTTTTTTTTGAAAAGAGTCTTCATAAGAAAAGAACAGGACAGTGTACAGGCTGATGGGGTTTTCCCCCTTTCCCTAGCACATTCAAAACCCTCTGGTCCAGCATCTTTTCACACTAATACCTTGTCCAGATAAGAATGTCACTTCAGCTGACATCTAGATGGCTAGGAGAGGACTGAGTGGCCACTATGTCTCCAGGATCCAACCATAAATGCATTTTGGCACATCCACTGTTGTTGGCAGAAGGGAACCTGAGAGAGGTCATGTCACTTACCCTGGGAGCAGACAGCGTGACATGAACAGAATCAGGATCGGGCTCCAACCTAAGTGCTTAGAATCCAGTTAGAAAGTAATACAGGTTTAAACCCCCACTGGATCCATCCCCAGCAAAGAAACTAAAGATGCAAAGGGTGGCTTTCACTGCCCAGTCACTCGGTGCTAGCTGGAGCTCAGCCTGCTCCTCTTCTGACCAGAAACCTAAATTGAGTGACTCAGGAAGGCCAGTAGGGCAGGAACACAGAGGAACAGCCAGGAGTCCTGCCCATCAACAAGGCACAGGGAACTAACCCAGTACTCTTTTGGCCCCATCTGCATCAACACTAAACAGCTGCAAACTCCCTGCCTCTCCCCCTCGCAAGTGAACACTCTCCTGAAGATTGCCCTTTGCAACTGCACCCACCTGCAAGCCAGATGAATCTAGAATGAATTTTTGTTGTTGTTTAGTTTCTAATCTCTTGTTTATGAGGTGTGGGGTTTATAAGGGACTGAATCAAATGAATGTAACAAAAAAGAAAAAAAAAAACAAAAAAAAAATGCCTTTTCTCAGGGCCAGTGAGTTGCAAATAATTTTTAAAGAAAAACCTATAATTACATCATCTCAATAAATTTTTTATAAAAAAAAATAAAAGTTCCAAGTCTCTGTTTTTAATAATATGAAATGGAATCAGACAGGCAAGGTACTCTAGTGATGTCAATCCTGTACTCAATTATGGAATAAAGTGCAGTCCCAGTTTCTCCTGGCAGGAAGCCGCCATAGCCCAGGAGTCTACAGGCAGGCTTTAGACAAGAGACCCCAGGAAGGTCACAGCAGATGGCTACTCCAAGCTGCTGCCTCAGGTGGAAAAATCTGCCCAAAGGAACTCCAATCAGATGTGCCAAGGATGTACCAGGTCACTAAGCACTCGGGTAATAGCAGGGATTAAGTAACCCTGGTTGGGTCGGCACCTCCAAGGTAGTAGAGACATAAGTGTGGGGGTAGCTTCCTTGGCTGAGCCCCGGACTTCAGAATCCTGGACGGTCACCATACAGCCTGGGCACTCAATATCTCTGCCATACTGGTGGGGTCACCAACTGAGATTTCAAACTCAAACAACATAGCAGGCTGTGACGGAGCACAACTGTAAACCGAGCCCACAGAAGGTGGAGGCAGGAGGATTGGGAGCTCAATGTCAGCCTCAGCTAATAGCAAGTTTGAAGGCAGCCTGGGTTTCATGAGATCTTGTCTCAAAAAACAAACGGCAGCTCAAACATAATGGTCACCACTACTATCTATCCACCATCACAATTGGAAGAGGTTCAGACCAAGTGAAAGGAGGCAAACGGCATTGCTTGGCAGCTGTTCAGACAGTAGGTTTAAAACACAGCACAGGAGTTTAAAACTGATCTCATAGTATGTTAGATGGTTTCTCTCTTCACATTGTTTCCCAGGTGTCCCTAGGCTGGGATGTTTAAACTACCTCATCAGAACACTTGATCCAGTAAAGTTTAAGAGGCAGTTTTGGGGGGGGGGGCGCTACAGTGCCTTTGAAACTAAAATTTCTGATCATTCCCAATTTGAATCATATGGGGATTCCTAGCCATGCAGATTATCAGTTGGGATCCTATAAATTCAATCAAAAGCTTTGGGGTGGAGCTTCCAAATATGCGTCCAGGTCTCCAGGTGATGCTGCTGTGCGCTAAGGTTTGGCACTCCTCGTTGCTTTGTTCATCATGCTACAAAGGAGCCCCCCAGCATCAGAAGTGATGGTGGTTTATTTGCACTATGTGTTTTCACAGAGATAGGCATGCCACATGTTTAAACAGACGTGGACTGCAGAATGAGGCCAGGCAGACCCACAGTCATATAGGAAGTCGGCACGCTCCATCCAAACCTCATAAGCCATCAACCTGCTGTAAAGATGACAGTCTGAAACGGCAACTGAACAGGTGACCTGCCCTTGCAAATTGCATAGCGATTTATCTACTGAGGCCCACTTAATCTAAACCACCTGCCCAACCACCCTAATCTAAAAACAAAGACAAAGGGGGTGTGTGCTGACCGTAGTCTCCAGGTCAACTCTGTACCCTGCTGCCCCCTTTCACGCTGAAAGCTGAACCCAAGACCTCGTGTGTGCAGAGCAAGTACTCTAGCACTGACCTCTGTCCTCAGTTTGACTGTGTTCCAGACAAGCTCTAGGTGATGTTGACGCTGCTGGTCCTCAGAGCACACTCTTAAGTAGCAAGAGCCCGGTGATTTCCTACGCAGGCTCAAGACCAACCCTACTGCTAGTCTCAACAAACCCATCTCATCACTAGTGCTCCCTCCTTCAGATCCCTTCCTGCAAGAAGTTTGCTTCTTCCCAAGGGTAGCATGGAGAGTGAATGTCATAGAAAAGCCATGTTGGCAAGTGGAGGACAGTGCCATTTACATACTAGGCCCGGATACAGGTGTTCATAACCAGATGGCCTAACAGCCATCTTCCTGTCATCGGGGATGAGAATTGCAGCACTACTGCCTGTCTCTAGGCCTTCACTGTGCAGATACAGAGCTAACAGTGCCATCCTTGATGCTCTGAAAGGCATGGGGGTTGATGGGCAGATCCTCCATCTACATTGTCTAGAATGTTGACATTCAAAGCTCTCAACTTTGGGTCAGTGTCTACACTATCAGTACTACTGGTCTGGGGAGATGGCCCAATGAGTACAACACTTGCAATGCAAGCCTGAGTCACCAGAGTTCAGATGCCAAGAACTCACATAAATGCCAAGTGGCAGACTGCCTGTATTTCCTGTACTTGGAAGGTAGAGGATAGCGGAAACCCTGGACCAGATGACTACCTATATTAGCTATCTCAGCAATTTCTGAGTTCAACTGAAAGACCTTAATGAGTAAGGTGGAAAATGACAGAGGAAGGCTCTGGTGTCAAGCTCTACCCCATGTGTATGTGCATAAATGCGTGTGCACCCATTCACATTTGAGCATACATATACTCGCAGCCTGTATGGATATTACATATAACATGTATAATAAGTAAATAGGTTTTGTTTAATAAGAAGGCCCTCACCGTTACTAGAAAAGAGAAAATCTCCAGTCATTAAAAACCACTAAAGAAACTGCCTGATTTCTCTAAACAAGGGACCATTCTCTCTCCAAACTCCCTAAATAATGCCCTCCAAGACTCTTCTGAGGACTCAGCCAGAATTTTGGTCATGAGCCTGTGTTCTGGTTTGACTTTCATTGCTGTAATAAAATACCCTGACAAAAAGCAAGTTGTGGGAAAACAGATTTATTGTAGTCCACAATTCAAGGTTATAGTCCGTGACTGAGAGAAAGTCAAGGCTCCTGGAACTCAAGACAGCTAGTCACATCTCATCCAGGAGCAGAGAGAGAACAAGTACATCAACCCAATGTACATGAGACTAACCAGGCAATTCTAGGCTGTATCACATTGGCTATTAGGTCTAACCACCCCAGATGCCGTATGATCCATGGGTCTCTGCAGGGGCAAAATGACCCTTATTTTTTTCCGCAACGAACTAGTCCACATGTCCATTGGTGAGGTCGCAAGTGGAACACAGAATAGCCACACATGGAGTGCTATTTAGCAATAAAAAGTGGTCAAATCATTGGCACATGCAGTAACAGGAATGAACTCCAATGACATCACGTTAGGTTAGAAGTCAGGATAGAGGCACTGATGCGTGGCTCCATTTATATTGAAATTCCAGTAAGGACAATCAAAGACATTTGCCTGGGGATGGAGATGTGAGAGAGGTGACCTTCGAGCAGAAAGAAAGAAAGAGGTTTGGGGTGTCACTGAAACACTCTGAAACCGGGTTGTTGGGATGGCTACAGAAACCTACAAATTTGCTAAAATTCATTGTTTGCTTTGGAGCAAGGAAACTGGCCCAGTAAGTAGAGTGCTTGAGACATGACCATGAGGACCTGAGTTCAAATCCCCAGCATCCCTGTAGTGTGGTGGCAGCTGTTAGTAACCCAAGTGCTGTGGAAGCAGAGACAAGTGGAGCCCGCGTGCTCCCTGGCCAGCCAGTCTAACTGAATTGGTGAGCGCCAAGTGAGGGAGCCTGTCTCAAAAAAACGAGGTAGAGAGCAATGGAGACCCCTGATGTTGACCTGTGGCCTCCACACACATATGCACGTGATCATGCACCAGCCTGCCCTCGTGCACACAAGCGTGTGCGCGCACGCACATACACACACACACACACACACACACACACACACACAAAATTGCACATAAATAATAAAATAATAACTGAGAAAGATACACAGCACAGACCTCTGCTATTCAGCCCCACATGCACAGGGGTATGCACCTAAACACATACATTTGAACAAGTACACGCACATAGATCACAAACACACACACAGAAAGAAAAGTGGGAGGTACTGTGCTTAGCTGGGCATAGTGGCACTTACCTATGGTCCTAACACTTGGGAGGCTGGGAGAGAACGAACAAAAGTTTAAGGCCAATCTAGATATAAATAAAACACTATCAAAAAAGAAAGAAAGAAAAAGTTCTTAAAGGTGACAAGCGACTTAGATCAACCAACTCATGCTGGCTGCAGGGTAGATGGATCGTCCTTCAAGAACATGGCATAGGACTGAAACCCCGGGGGGGGGGGGGGGGGGGGAAATACACCAGTACTGTGAACTGAATGCTACCAGATAGCATATGACACAGCAGAAATCCCGCTCCACGTCCCAAACACCCCTAGGACTATGATCTCTGTCAGGTCAGGACATCCAAGTGAATGAAAGCTCTCAAAAATGCTGTCAGCTACCGACACCCTAAAAAAGGAGCCCAAGAAGCTCACAGCCCTTGTTGGAGACCAAGTCATCATTACATGACTCTCGGCCACTGGTTCTCAACCTTCTTAATGCTGTGACCCTTTAATACAGTTCCTCACGTTGTGGTGGCCCTCAACCATAAAATTATTCCGTTGCCACCTCTTAACTAATTTTGCTACTATTAGGAATCGCAATGTGAGTATCTGATATTTGGAATATCTGATATGCAGCCCCCAATGGGGTCATGACCCACAGGTTAAGAACCACCCATCGAGGCAATTGTGTAGACAGTAGCACTCGTGAGAACTGGTGGCTGTCACCAGCAAAGGGTGTTTGCTACAGGGTTTAGGGTTGTGCGTTCTTAGACAAAAACAGCAGCATTAACACATCATGACATGAGCCGAGACGTTCTCAGCTGTGCTGTGTGTGGCTTGAGGACTTCTCACCGGCGAGTGGAAGGCAGAGAGGAAAGTGGGAGGCAGAAAAAGCCCAGTCAGGAATAAAAGGTGGGGCAGCTCCATGCAGGGAGGTGATTTAGAGTGCCTGGGGGCCGCTGTTTGTTTAATTCACGGTCGGCATAGCTGGGGCGGAAAGCAAGCAGTTTTCTACTGATGAAAAGGGTGCTTCTTTTATGTACAAACTCAGCTTATCACTCCATCCGATTCACCTTCACATCTTTGTCTAACACTGCCTCAAAAGACAGTTACGCTTCCGTTCAGAACTGGTTCGTGGTAAGCCACTCGCCCAGAAAAAGCAGAGAGACAGTCCATGTCCGCTGGGATGAAAACCAGCATCAAAATG